ACAGACTGAAACAGTGCATCTCACCCTGTGGACCACTGACTGAGCTCGAGGCTAGAGCGCCGTGTGAGTACAAATCTGACACACTGACAAATGTCTACCATGGACTGAAACACCTGTTTTTGATATGTCACTTTTATGATTTAGGTTACACTGTTTCCATTACTGGCAATTTGTTCATGTTTTGTAGAAACGTCAGAATAGACTGAACTTAGTAAAATGTCTGTTTGTTCTGTAAGTTTCATAGTCATACAGCAGTAATAATCAGATAAAGTACATGACCATGTTCTGTATTTTCTGACTTTCTGATCCCTTTAAAAGTGTGTGCTCTGAGGGAAACCTGTAATATATTAAATTTATGTTTGTCAAAAGCATATAGTATGTTATTGCAATATTACATAACATTTTAATGATTTATAATACAAAATTGACTTTGTTCCTCTGACAGCTTATAAACCGCTCAACCACAGTTATTAGGGAGAAAGTTCTTTTGAAATGTGAGATCAATTTGTTTTTTATTCTCCCTAAAAGCAAACCTTTATTTAAAATCTTCTTCCCGACTAAATGTATTTGTGGCTTTCAGTATACAACAACTATACTTCTCTGGTAACCCATATGAAACAAAAATGCATGTCATGACAACATGGTGATAGTTTAACAAACTTTGGTTTGTGAGGAACTTTATAAGAATGCTGATGATTCTATGATGCTATCAGTCTATCAGTACTCAATACACCCAATACACAGTTTTCCAATTTTAAACCTGCTTAATTTTCCAACACGATCTTGGTACTGTAGAGTATATTGCAGTTTTTGCTGATGTAGTCGGAAAATATAAACACTTTGCTTGTAAGATTCCATTCTTAAAAACACAGCGGACCATAAATTGAGTGAGAATTGTGTAAAAGGTTTTTGTGAGCCAGCTTGGATGAAACCACAACCACCAGGTTGCGTGAAGCACCCCCCCTAACCCCATATAAATTTATGGTCCTTTTTAACTGCCAAACATGACAGTGAGCCATAAACTCAAATTCATAAGCCTGTGAATGATGGTCTTCTAGTAGATTGAATAAGAATGATTCAATAATATTGAAGGCCTTAAAATTAGTACAGTAAATTTTGTCAACCAGGCATTTCGCTGGAACTAATATGAGGTGAATTTGAGGTATAATCTGAATATGTGTGCAAAGGTTTTCTGCTATACTGATGCCTCCTGAGAACTGATCATTCATTAGACAAGCATGCATTAGAAACAGAGTTCACTCAGTGTCTCTTACCTCTCCCTGAATATCTGTATAAAACTTGCCATCAGTCTTTTGTGGGATTCATAAAAGAAAGCTCATCTCCATGGAACTGAGGTCATCAAGAATAGTAATTTCCTTTAACAGTAAACAGCCTTTCAGCAGTGGGCCTGTGACCAAGTTTAATCTCAGTTTATAGGTGAAGGTCCGTGGCTCTGCTTTATCAAACCCTAACAAATGACAATTCAGTGAAACACGTTAGGTAAACAGTGAGGAAAGACTGTTGTCACAGTGCACCAGTGACATCAATGCTGTTTTTGGGTGTTTGTGTTCAGACAGAGTGGAGTGCATGAAGATTTATGTTCAAAATGATCTAGTATGATTTTAACTCAGATTACAACCAGGAACAGAGGCAAATAGTTGTGAATTCAACAAATGTCAAATGTTTCCCTCATCCTTATCTGACCAACAAACAACAGGCAAAATGGAGCAAATAAAAATCAACTGAGATCAAAAACTAAACCGGTAGTTTTTAATTTCCATCACTTATTCTGAAGGAAGCAATAATGTGGGTGAGACTAACCTGCAACTTTGACATTTATAGGATTGTGCACCTGAGTCCCAGAAGATAGTCCTGTGTGTTGTGTCGAGCACTAACCATGACGACTGTGGAGCCCCCTAATGGTCTGCGGCACCGAGACATCAAGGCCTGTCAGTCAGATGAGATCTCCAGTGATGGTATGGTCCATAAAATATTTACTTAGGGTATTGATCCATGCATATAAAATGTTTTCTGTTGTCCTATTGTGTTAAATTGTTTTCTGTTGTATATTATGGATTTTTAGTTTTAATTTTTTTATTTCTAATTTTGCACTGAGTATCTTACAAGTATCAGGTACAGTACAGTATGTATAATACTGTATATCGGTGATAACTGATTAACAATTTGAGCTGCTTGCATTCTCCTCACAGCTGGGAGCCATAATAATGTGCAGGAGGAACTCCAGAGACAGTGGCAGACACATGCACAGGTATCCTTTATTTCCCAGCCAGTATTTTGTCTTGTGTCTTGGCCAATATCTGGTCATGTTGTCTACCACAGGTCTTACTCTGCAGAGCAAACTGAATACAGCTTAAAGTGGCATTTTAAAAGTGCAAAATATGAGATGCTACATGATGTCATATGTCGGCTAATAAATAAAGTAAAATGTGTTCTGTGTGTCCTTTTGAAGAAGGTGAAGTTAAAAGTCCTGGAGCAGGTCCAGGACCAACTCAGCGATATTCTGGACAAAGCAATGGCTGAGAGCATCCAGCCTTTCACCCACATTCAGCCAACAGTTAATGGAAAGACAGTAACAAATCCCTCGTCCAGGTGAGAAGGCGAAGCAGGAGATAACTTTTAGTAGCACACATTTCTTATCGATGTTTATTGTCTCATTGGCTGTAGTAAAACGTGCTCCTCTTTCTTTTTCTTTTTCTTGTTTTGTTTTAGGTCTCAAAAAATGGACGATGGCAAAGTGTTTATGGACAGGGCATCACTGTTGGAGTAAGTATCAAATACTGACTGTTTCCTATCTAGAGAGAGTGGTGCAGAGCATGTGAACTGCAACTATTTTCAACTACATCTATAAGATAGCAAAAAAACAAATTAAAGGTTATGCTAATTAGTTCACCATCTGTAACAGAGATCAGTGGTTAACAGTGACGTAATTTCATATTCCTGACTCTGTGTGTCGTCCTTGTCATCAGTGAACTGTTTGAGATCAACCACATCAGGACGATCTACCACATGTTCATAGCCATTCTCATCATCTTCTGCCTGAGCACGCTTACTGTCGACTATATCGACCAGGGCAGGTGTGTGACACGTGCACGTCTCTGTGTTTGTGTGTGTCCCAGACTCTATGAGCCTGAACCAAATCTAATGTAACCTCAATTACCCTGAAGCTTTTAAAAAGTTTTTCCTCACTTCTCACTTCTTATCTGTTTTTTTGTCCCTCCCTCTTTCTCTCCCTACCTCTCTGCTCATCTGGCAGCCAGATGTTAGAGCACTCATACCCTCTGAGAATTTCTGTTGTTTAGGGCAGCATAGTAATGATATAATGTATACTTTTCGCAGACGCATCATTATGAGTTTAATTATTACATTATGTTTCTCACTGGATCAAACTGTCAGTGGCCAACTCACTAGAAATGATTTGATACACCTGCGTTGAGTTAATGTTGATTTTAAGAAAAAAATAACAATATTGCTTTTGTAATTGTGTGTTGAATTTTAAAAACTCTATTGACATGCTACGATAAGAAGGTAAATTAAACTGATATTACCGTAACCAATGGGGTCTTTCAGATTGGTGAAAGTAATGTGCATAATATCAGAACTATACTTGCATGCTTAATATAGGCATTCATGCTTTGATATCATCAAAATGGTCATTCAAGACCAAGCAGCTGGAGGCTCAAACCAATGTGGAATTACTTTAAAATATGAGGACACCTGAGACCATGTGGTCTTAGGTGTCCTCTAATAAGTAATTTTAGAAGTTATTGCTCCATGTGATGAGATTGTAGGGTTTATAGGGGACTTTAATATCTGATTGACAGGTGTGACTGACAGTTTACACACTTGCTATTCTCTCCAGCTCCTGGGCCCTGGACCACAAAGTACAATTAGTGGGTTATCCAGCTAACTTTTGGTTTATCTTGGGTTTTCTGGTATCGTGAAGCTGGCTCATTTTTAATCCAATCACCATAGTAACCTATGATGCACTGCTAACCTGCTCCAAAGCAGAATAACCTTGGGCTCAGATCAAAAGTTGTCAGCAGCTTGACCGGTGACCAGTCAGACAACTCAAAAAACTGAATGATCATTCCTACAGGATCCTGATAGGGACAGAAGAATTGATATTAATGTGATAAAGTAATAAAGTATTAGATAGTAGTAGTAGTAGAATTCATTTAGCTGTTTTGGGCTTTCCATGGGTCACTCTGGTCTAAAGCAGAGTTTCTAACAAACTGAGGGCATCTATAACCTACATGTGCAGTGTATGATGATCAATGCTGTATTTTAAATGCACAAGGATTATTTGTTTCCAGACTGTGTCGGTTTTTACAGGCTATCACTACAGCTCAGTCTCATAACGAGACTTTGCAATGAGGGCTTTTTATTAGAAAAATCATCCATACGCAGTTAAATATTTCCCATGATTATAAATGGACATACAGTGAGACTGACTGTATTAGGAACTAATATCACTATTTACAGTAAAAAACTTGCTGTAGTAGTAATGATTAAACTGTTTTTATGTGATGACTGTTTATATGTAATCAGCGTCACTTTGTCCAACTCACCCCTCTCATTTTCCTCCCAAATCTCAGGTTGGTCCTGGAGTTTGACCTGATTTTCTTTGCCTTTGGGAAGCTGGGGATAGCCACCATGGCCTGGATTGTGATGTTTGCCTATACCCTGCTTGTCCCCTACTACACCCTGGTGTTTTGGGGTAACTTTTATCACAGCTTTCCCTCCAAGCTGGGACTGTCCCTAGGGACAGGGTTGATCTTGTCTGTCGTACAGACATGCGTTTTGGGACTGTTCCCGATCTACGTAGTCATAGACAACCAGTTGCCACCGGCTTCACGGTTCATTGTGATACTGGAGCAGGTCAGTGTGTGTACATGTTTCAGGAATAAATGTTGTTATATTTGTAGAGATAAAGTTTTTGCTTTCACACTTGAAAACAGTACTAAATATTTTGGACATTAGAACTTTACTGACACATCAGTGTGATCAGTATTATCAACCAAATCTTGTTTGTCACACATACAGTATAACTTGGCTTGATATACCATATGTTGCTGATAGTATAACAAAAATGCAGTATGTTTGTCTGTCAGAGAGCGCTGTAAAGTTTATTTTTTAATTGTAAAATTTCCACCAGGGCACGTGTCTTAGCCAGCATTTTTATACCCAATTCAAGGGATCCTTGTGCTTTTCACTTTTCATGTCCAGTGCACAGGTGAGCTTATTACTGTACCTAGTCATCTGTGTGTCTAAGACATCAGATCACTGAATGCAGCAGAAGATATAAAAGAGGCATGGGTATACACTGTGACATGATAAAAAGCACCAAGAGCCTACAGTAAATAAGAGGTTAATCAATAGCACATAAACATGATTAAAAGTTATATCTATGTCATTCAGTGCATTCATTACTTGCTATTTATGAGACTACTGGCAAACAGTGTGTTAAGCGGGTGCAAAGGTAGTTTATGGATGTAGCAACACTTTGAATCTTTCAGCAACATCACTTGATAAGATATAGTGTTTTTGGAGAGGAGAGCTGTGCCACGCAGCAAGATCAGATGAGTCAGCAGCTGTTTAGCTACGAGGTGGGGTGCATCAAAAAGTCAGTGACCCTCTGCATAAACTATACAGTTAACAACAAAGAGCTGACAAGAGTACTTCAGTGCTGAAATAAAGTAAATCCTCATTTGTGCAGGTAACAACTCACCCAGTAAATACTCTCCGCAGTATATTAATCATAAGTCAGTGAATTAGTTTTTGTAGTTCCAGTGGCTTTCTCCTAGAAAATGGAGGTTATTTAAAAGTGCCAAGATTGTTTGGGGTTTAATATAGAAAAATATTGATCTTAGAGACTCTTACAGTATGATTAAAATATTTTTTTTGAAATGTAAACTGCTGCTGAGAGTAAATATCCAGTCGACTAAAACCCATGCCTGTATTATATTATTAAGAATGAACTGTACTAGAAACACCCTGTACTGTAAATGACACCATATTAATTGGTAAACCAAGTTATAAATACAGCCCTTCATTGCCATCAGCAGCAATACAGTGATAAGAAAAACCTGTTGGCTAGAGATGGAAACTTTCCAACTGGAAAGCCACCAGAAGAGACGACCGATTTCAGTGTAGCCAGCATTAGAACATTATAGATCTATAAGTATATATTTTTATACTTATTCTCTCTATTACACCATTCCTGAGTATCCCAATCAATCACAGTACTATTTTAGCTCCATTCAGTAGAATCAAATAATTTTAATACTTAGTTCCCTTCTGTATACAGACTGAAGTCACACCAGGCCTGAACTGCAGCTTATAAAATGATAAAGCAGTTCTTCAGCTACACTTTTCTGGGCTCGGTCATGCTATACAGTTTCCATTTGTTGTACTTCCTCCTAATGAGTTACAGAAGTGAATACTCTGATAAATTGTCATCATTTGGTTAATAAGCACAAACTCAGAAACAAGATACTACAGCCATAAAGCAGGAAGCTGTTCATGTTAGACACATAGTCAATTCTTGTAATAAAGACAGTCAATACTGACACATTGTACCTACATCAATTTTCCTCAGATTCGATTCCTGATGAAGAGCTACTCATTCATAAGAGAAACTGCTCCTGCTATAATGAAGAAGGCACCAAGGGAAGGTAATGTTTTATCTTGTATGTGAGGTGTATTTACTCCTCAGGGACATCATTACTCACAGTGACACTACCAGACACTGGAGAAAAATGACCAAAACAGAGCTCAGCAGGTTACCACCTAATGATTCATGCTGAGGTTAAAATTAACAAGGAATATATCCACATACTGAAAATATCATTGAGTATGTGTGGCCCCATGAGATCCTGCTGTAAAAGCCTGTTAGTGGGAGATAACGTTGAAACACATGGAAGTGAAGCACATCTCACTAGACTGTGAAAATATTAATAGTAATGAGATGCCTGTAGAGTCCTGAATATAACAGTAAAACTGACATAAGGTAGCTTTATGGATGTGTCCATAGCCTGATATGGTTTGATTGTGGTTTTGGTCTTTGGTTCATTTTCATAAGTTCTCCTAAATGCAATTTTCACAAAACGGCGCTGTCTGTATAAGTAAAAAGCTACTGTAAATTGAAATACAGTGGATAATGAAGGTGGGGAGATTATGGGGCAGACTGTTTTGGCGTAGTGGCTTAACGATTTAGCGATAAACCCACAGCCATTTAATTTTAAGAACAGCCATTTGTTAGCAGGTTCCTACACTGAGACACAGTAAAGCTTACGAATTCACAAATGGAAATGTTAACGGTTGGTATTATGCCACATAATAGGACAAGAGAATGAAATGAGGATCTTATGCCTGAACTACAGACCTTAAATTAACTATTTTAACCCTTTTAAAAAAATAATTCAGTGCAACCTTTATTTTAGATATTAACTGAATTGTCTTCTTTTCAGGAGAAAGACCCAGATTCCCAACATTTTCCAGCTATTTGTATTTCCTCTTCTGTCCAACTCTCATCTACAGGGAATCATACCCTCGGTAAGACAAACTGTACTGTATTTTGACTCAGATCTCACGTGCGCTTCCCGAGTAGTGAAGCTAATTCAATAAATGAAAATATACATTAACTGAGAGACAGTTTAAAAGCAGTATTTGATACCCTGATGAGCTTTGCCTAAAATGCATTTCTAAACCCAAATTTGGACCAGAAAACACCTTCATGTCTGACATGACATCTGATATCATCAAGCAGTGTATCACACTTTTTATTTCTGAAGCAGTGACACCCTGTCTTTTCTTCACAGGAATACTCACATAAGATGGAATTATGTTGGCATTACTGTTGGCAGGGTAAGACAAAAACGTTTTCTCCTTTCATTACGTTTTTTATGTTGAGACGTTTTCATTAGTTGGATTGGGTGACACAGTTCACAAAGAAGGCCTGGTAATGCTTTATTTTACCTGTCCGCTATTCCCTAATCATTTCTTGAAAGTTTCCTGCACAGAATCATGTAGTTTGGTATAAATTACAGAAAGCTGGAGATAAAGTTTGAAGTTTTTTTCTTAGTTATTCCACAGAGTTGTTTGACTTGTTATTGACTTCCAGATAATTTTCCATGAAAGAAATTGCTCAACGTAAATCTCATTTAGTATTTACTGTTACTATTCTTCATTTATGCTAATCTAAAGAAAGCCTCAAGTGTGTGCTAGCTTCACATTTAAAAATAAATGGAACTCTACTAACTGATCACTGCCTAATTGCACTTGTCATTAGTATCAAAGTATATGGTTCCCTCCAAGACACCTCTCAGGTATCTATTTAGGAATAAACTGGAATTTACAGACCTGTAAATTAAAGCGTTACTGAAGCCTTTTCTAGATTAATTACCTAGGAAAGATAAAGTTGCTCATAGAACAGTGTCGTAACAGTGTGATAATGTGAAGTAACCATAAATGAAAGGTCCTTAACAGCTTTGATCTTAGATATTCTAGGTCACTATCTTCAATTTAATATTTCTAAAGTGTGCTCTGTTTTGTACTTTATGTTCCTTTGTTAATCCCATTATACTTGTCTATTTGTAGCTCCTGGGCTGTCTGTTTTATGGCAACTTTATCCTGGTGCGCCTTTGTTTGCCCTTCAGACCCGAAACCAACCGGCCTTTTAGTAAACGATCTATGGTTCTGTCTGTGTTCCACTCAATATTACCAGGTACTTTCTGTTAGAAACCAAAAACATGAATTATACATAAACACACATTTATGGAGGCGTTTTCCATGTAATATTGGGAGCAAGTCAGGTGTAAAACAAGTTTTAAGTCACTGATAAGATTAAATATGCTTTTATTCAATCAGATCCCATTTTTGTGTTTGTGCTGATATTAGAGCATCAGTGTCAAGTTACAATTCTTATGAGAAATCTGGGGAAAATGCCCAGGAAAAAGGTGTTCCTCATAATCCCCTCTCTGTCTCTGTGTCTCAGGTATAATGCTCCTCCTGTTGGCTTTCTTTGCCTTCTTGCACTGCTGGCTCAACCTCTTTGGGGAGCTGCTGCGTTTTGCTGACAGAATGTTCTACAAGGTGTGTGGTATTTTTTTTTCTGTGGTGTGGCCTTGTGGTCCCAAATCAGTTTAGCTTTTCCATCATTATAATCCGCTGACTTAGGATATGTCTGAAAATAGTTGTCCTTTTTGTTGGCCACTTTCTCTTGAGTTTCATCCTCATGTGACTCTTTGCTATGACAAGAGTGTCTGAGGGTGTAAATGGATTCAAACTGACTGATTTAGGTATTAGTGAGGTAGACAATTCTAAATAGGTGGTGATGTGAGAGAGACATTTAGATTGTAAGGGTTTCTAGTAAAAAAAAAAAATGTATGTGATACGTGCAATGGTCTGCATTTTATACATACAAAATTTATCACCGGTGTTATGTGGCAGAACAATGATGATTAGTCTGAAATCCATATTCACTGCTCACCACTGAATAAACTATTGAATGTCCATAAAGGCAGCGAATGAATGAGTGAAGAAGGGAGTGAGTTTGGACACAGCTAAGAATTACATTATCTAATAAAGGAGTACTTTAATATACTGGGTTTTGAGGCCATATTCATTAAATTCTTAACAGGGAACAAAGTAATACAAGCTTGGCTCTCACCACTTAGAAGATCCGTATGAATATTTTGATAGTGGATGTTGACATTTTTCAGGCCCCAGGGTTGACGTGACCCTTCTCTTCTGTTTACACTGATTTTATTGTCCTCTGTTACTTTTCCAGGATTGGTGGAACTGTACATCTTTTGCCAACTATTACCGTACCTGGAACATTGTAGTTCATGACTGGCTGTATTACTATGGATACAGAGACTTGCTTTTGGTGAGTAGAGTACAGCAAACAAATATTAAACACACTGACAGTTAGCAAATGAAGAATAATACATTTAACTAATGCACTGTCCCAGTGGGTTTTGTTCATAGTTTAAGTCCCATCCTGAAATTCTATTGACACAGCCTTTATGCTAAGCCACTCTGGTCCCTGAACTCTGAGCCAAACCCTCCCTCTTTTCCATCTCTGATCCCTGCAGCTGTCGAAAAGGAGATTCCGAACAGCTGCCATGCTCTCTGTGTTCATAGTCTCCGCTGCCGTCCACGAGTACGCCATCACTATGGGCTTTGGCTTCTTCTATCCGGTCATGTTCTGCCTCTTTGCAGTCCTTGGAGGTGAGGGATAGGTTCATTACAGAAACATTTCACATCTACACTGTCCATAGCTTGGTAGAAATATGTAAATGTCACATTCTAGCTACATTCTGGACTGTGCTTTCAAGTATTCACAGTGAAAATCTCCTCCCTCTATCAGACATTGAGTAGCTGAGAGACATATTTAATAAAAGCACATTTGTACATTGTGTCCTTTTCCTCTGGCACTTAAAACATAGCAACAATTCCTTTAGTTTTTTTTTTTTTTTTTTTTAACATGTCATGCCCTTGCTGTTGCTTACTAGCATCCTTATGTTTTACAGTCTTACCACAAATAAACTGTTAACATTTTACTACAGACGAACAATAACATTACTCCATGTCATCCCTGTCAGTGCTGTTCAATTTTGCCATGAACGACAAGTGTCAGAGGCCTGTGTTCAACATCATCATGTGGACGTGTCTCTTCCTCGGTCAGGGCATGCAGATGTGTCTGTACAGTCAGGAGTGGTATGCCCAGATACAATGCCCACAGAAAGAGGTATGTATTCCACTCACATGTGTGGGGCTAGTACTGAAAGGAGCAATGCCATGATCAGGCGTGTTCTTGTTTCTTGATGATGCTGATTTCAAGACAACTTTACTATTCATTACACCAAAATGTAGTTTTGTATCATTTACTGTACTATAGAATTATGCAAAGTCCACTCTGATGAAAAGCTTGAGAAACATGAAACCTTTTTTATGCAGCTTGTTTGTAGGTATACACCTGTAATTGGTCAGTCAGGGCCTCAAAAAGCATGGAGAGACAGATATCACTATATTTTAGAGCAGGGGTGGCCAATTCCAGTCCTTGAGGGCCGCTGTCCTGCTTGTTCTTCCAACTATCTCTGCCCGACCTGCTGCTGATTACCTGGCTCAGGTGTGTTCAGCCAGTCAGAAGCTGGATTTTAAATGAGGGGGAGGGAATAACTGTAGTATTCTGCAGCAGAATTAGGACCCCAGTTTCTGGCCTTCTTAAATGGAAAACAAGCCAGTAGGTAATACAGTAAGACTAAAGCACAGCAACAAACTCATTATTATATGAAAAGATTATATAACTGGCATTTGAGTAGTTTGGCGTTAGGATTAGATGTTGGACATCACACAGATGCCAGTGAATAGATTAATCAGACTGTTTCATCATCCTGGCTTTGTCATCTGTTCTTAACCACAGTCATTCATGAATATCTGTTGCAAAACAGACATGCATATGTGTAGACATGTACAAAGTGCATGAACTCTGTTCTTAAAGAAATAAGACCCCACAACCCCCCCCCCCCCCCCTTGTGTTTGATGAAGTCACAGATGTGAAGGATGCAAATGGCAAATGGACACAGATGTACTTAGCATTCTCACTCTATGAACTACTGCACCTCTGTATCCCCAGGTATCCCCAGCTAAAGCTTCCTCTAAAGCCGGTAGCATCATTCATACTCACAATGGCTTAACACATAACAGCTGTCTAAAAACAGAAAGACAGTAAAACAAGATCATGTGATAATAAATGGATATTAAATCAAACAGATGAATGTGTAAAAGGCTTACAGATAATACCACCGTGAAGGAGGAGGAGTGTTGTATGAGTAGTTAGAACAATTTTTCTTCTCCGTCTCACCAGAATAGTTTCTGGGACCTGGTGACGCCTCGTTCCTGGTTCTGCAGCAACCAGAGATGAAGATGCCTTTCTCCTGGGCTGAAGGGATAAATAATAGAAGGCTGCAGCTTGTAAAAGCATGAGAGACTAAACACAGAATCAAACTGAGGAAGGACAACTGGAAAGACTTGTACTGTAAATATATTCGGTTATACAAGACTGCTTTGGGTCAAAATGTGACTGTCACTTCCGTCTTTATGCGGTTATTCAGCTGCGATGCTATCCACATGTCAAGTTTTGTATTACAGTAGTGTTTAATAATTCAGTTTAAACCAATTGTTTAAAAATTAATGGAGTTTTGCTGTATGTGTGCATGCTGATAGAATACAGTGCTTTAAAGCAAATGGGTGCACATTCATAACTTGTGGTGTTTTGCCCAAGTGCAACATTTTGAGGAAATGGGTTCTTGTACGTGTATGCGTGGGTTTACCAATTTAAAAATAGCACATCTGTTGGTGTTGGTGTGCTGTAAGTGGATGCTTGAGTCCGAGTCAGGCTATATATTTGTTTCAACTTATGAGACATCTTAATTTCTTTATTTCCATAAGGTAAGTCTTTGTATTATATTTAAATGTTTTTAATAAATCCTCTGGAAATAGTCCAATGCACAATTTAATTTAGAATTTGTGTAATTCCATTTTTATTTCTTCTGTATTTATAAAGCTTGTAAAAGAAATGTGCAGTCACTTTATCACCAGTTAGCAAGGTGCTCAAACAGCAACAGTCCAGAAACTTAAAAGTAAGAAAAAAAAAGTCCAACAAATCAACCAGTGTTGCTTTGTCATTTCTTTATATTAAAACTAGACATGGTTACAAAACCTGGAAACCAAGTGGTTTTATTCTTGTCTTGTGCATTTGATTTTACCTTTTGTTTCATGTACAGTACAAAACATTTTGCTGAAAACAGGTCAAATCACAGACGACTTAAAAACAGGCTTTACCACAGTAAGGGCACCTAGCCCGCAATATGTGTGTTGCATGTTTAATCCCGCCTTGCTTTACACACAGATGGCAAGGATTGGTTGGGAGAGCAGGTATGCTGACCAATCACAGGAAGTGCAGCATCTTATCAGTCTACCACAAAGCCTCTATTTGTCTGCCTGCCATGTCCCTCTGAAGGAATAAACAGTGGTACAGTATTTGCATTAATGATGTAATGCTCTGTAAACATAAGAGCTCAGTGGTAGAGATAGCTGGAGACATTGTCAACAGTGGAATTGAACATGTCTATCGTAGTTAATCATTTTTAATCCTGACACTACAGAGTAAAGAATTTGACTTCATAATGAAAAATACTTGTAATCCAGGGAGAAACAGCCTTTCTAGTTGCCTATTATGTAATTGTATACCACAACATGACACCCAAGCACACTTTAAAATTATTTTAAACTTTAATAATTAAGTACCTAAAAAATTCTAAATGATTATAACTTTAACACCACTGTTAACTTTCATGCCAATAGAGCCCCTTTGAATTGAAATGGATTATTGAATTAGACTTAAATTATCCAATTTAAAAACTGCATTAAAGAATTATTAAAATTGAGCATTAAAAAACTGAAAGAATAAATGGTTTATTTTGTGATTGAACAGACAAAACTCCTGCTTTCTACTCAGCCAGTTCACTTAGGGCCCACAACGTTCAGACAAGAAGCATCTTCTCCATGTGAAATCTAACCTGTGACCCAACAGGCACTTGTGTGTCCCTCTGACTGTCTACTTGCTGAAACACATGCACTTTCAGATAAATTTGGTACATGAGCTGCTCATGGCGCAGTAAACAAAGCAAACACACCTGACCTTGGCCTACGACAAAGCAAACACACCTGACTTTGGCCTACGACAAAGCAAACACACCTGACCTTAGACTACAACAAAGCCTGGCAACATTAGCCAACTTCCAGGCTGTCACTCACCTTTTGGTTTAGAGTCCTTATGAATCTAGAGGTGGTCCACACAGCGTCATAGCTTTTTTTTTTTTTTTTCCCTTTGGACATTACATAACCAGATACATATGACTGAAGTCTATAAACGTCCGCAATGAGGTCAGGCATTCACAAACACAACTGATTGTGCATCTGACATTAACACACCTGTAGCAGGATGGCCATTAAAACAAACACTGTTCCTTAAAAAAAAAAAGTTCTAGTACTTACCAAACACTTCAAGCTCCGTTTTCCTGTGTGTCTGGCAACATACTAGCACCAAACTAACTTATTCTAATCCACACCTGAGAAACTACCAACTGACGTAACAAACAGCTGTTTTCCAAGGACCGCTCTCAAATTTTAAACCACTTGTAGCCACGCCCACTACGAGCGGCCCTTGTTGATGATTGGTCCACGCACTTCCTCCCCCGTCATGATAATCATTTTACCTGTGCGGGTATTCTGCTTGTTGTGTAACAGGAAGGGGCGGGGAACCTGCTGCACAGGAGGCGACGTGACACTGATCTCCATCAGCTGATAATAGTGTTTCCAGAAAACAGGCGATTCTTTCATATTAAGGGACAGCATGTCTCTGCTTATGAACACAAAGCAAACAGCTTGTACCACTGAGTGAATACTGCCCCAAAGAGCCCAGACACTGGGACACAACCTATCAAGTGTGATTTTATGGGTTTTATTTAATCCAGTCATGAATCTATACAGTCTAGATCAAGGAATGAATTTTCAAGCTCAGCATGATTCAGATGTTTGATGATTCAATTTTCTTTCTTGCAGAATATACAGCAATACCTGCAATGTCTCTAGTGGACTCTGAAATGTACATTTTCAGACTTTTGTCAAAGCAGTAGAAAACAGAGGAAAAAACAAAACAAAGCGACATTACAAATCCAGAGTGTTTTATTCATTTCATCAACAGATAGGTTTGCCAAAGCACCATAAGAAACAAACTGCGCAGTAACTCACAATTATATATTTAGGTGGCAGCAAGATGCATTCAAGAACGGTGGTATTAAAGCATGAGTAAACAAGCCAAACAAAACATAATGCCTTCAGGAAAATGTTTACCTTAAGTCCAAATAAAAGCATAACTTAGAAAGCAGATGCTGTGCGCTACACTTGTTGCAGTGGCTATACTTCCCAGAAAGCAAAAATGAATGTGAGCTACACTGAGACAGGGTAAAGGGTTGCAGGGTGCTTCGCAGCCAATAACAGGGATTAGAGATGAACATGCAGATACTCACTTGCATCCATCTGAAATGTCACCTAGCACTGTTTTCTTGCTGCCACATGCAGGTGCATCTATGTGTGCCTATGCAAGTGTGTAATCATGTTGCAGTGGAACAAATCAGCTTTGGGTAGTTGATCTGGAACAAAGTGGCTGAGGAAGGAAGCTGAACTGTGACTTTATTCCCTGATGTTCATGAACAATATTTAAAATTGGTGTTTAGGGAGCACAGCTTAGGGAGGAAAGGGCACGTTTATAGGAACTCTCACACTGAAACAGAAACAGGAAACAGAGAAACTGATACAAAATAGACACTGAGACACTAAAGTACAACTGAGTGCAAGCAAACTCAGAAAAATGACCTGAAATAACTTCAATGAGAGAGGCAGAAGCTGGATAATAAATGTTACTTTCCTCCTTTCCACGAACATGTATCGAACCTTAAATGATCACACAGTATGCACTTGCTTGCAGGACCAAACCTAAGCTTCACTTTCAACAGGAAGAGCAGGTTGGATATCACTCATACCGTTAGTGTGCAAACAGCAAATGTGTCCAACATATTTCTGTGGGCTAGCAGCATTGGCAGGAGAAATGTGTGGCCTCAACCACATGATGATGACGAATACAATGAGACTGCACAACTATTAATATGACGGCGCTGTGTATGCAATTTTCACTTCAGGGACAAGTGTCCTAAACAGTGTGAAACAACAACAGTTTTTCTGTTACTCATTGTAACAAAGAGGGAATTCTTTTTCACAGCAGTTTCTCAGTTACTTGACGAGAGCAAAGGAACTATTTTTTTTTTTTAAAAAGAACAGTCAGCTGTACTTTTTCAAGTACAATAAAGAACTGACTTTTCAGCTTTAAGAAAATCTAGTAAAAGAAAGTTTGGTCCTGGTCCCATTTTTGTCCGAGTGCTTCACAGGAGCAGAACAGACTGCTGCAGAATGTTAAACACAGGTGCTTTGCCAAAAACAAACACTGCACAACAGCATAGTCTTACTTACATGAAGAAAAATAAAACAGCTAAACATCATACAGAATTTACATATTTCAGCTCAGTGCATGTTGGACATCCTCCATTTCTCGAAACTATACACGTCTGTACAGAAAAGTCCCTACAGCATGAAGTGTCACAGTCGAGAAATGCTTGTGTTTAGAGTTGGTACTCAGCTGCTCTTGGCATCAAAAAGTCCCTAGGCAGTGCCTTCCTTATTAAGTAATAGAGAGAGAGACTTTGTTTACATGCAGAGTGATACAAGCCTGCAGGCAGTAAAGGGGCCCCTCCCCCATATTAGGTTTTTGGCAGCCGGACTGCTTCCATCAGTGTTCGTGTGACCATCAGTGGCAGTGTTAGAGGCTTAACCATGCACATATTTAGATATTTTTGGTTGTTGTATTAAAAGCATGCAGCTTGAGGAAGGAACGAATAGAACAGCAACAATTTGTAATTTTGTGACCCAAACAGACAGAAGTATTTGCTAACATCATCATGTTCTGAGAGGGCAGTCTGCTTTCTATGGAAACAGTTCACCTTTAGTATGTTTGAGTTTCCTCACACTTGACAAACATGCAGTATCTTCTTTACTTCTGACCTGGTCACAAAAGCCTGGATTCTGTATTTGACCATTTTCCAGTTGAGACAGAATGAAGTTGGGTTTAATTAACACACTAACGGGCTCCAAAAAAATTCAGTCTTTGCCCATATAAGGAGTGCAGAGGGGTCATTAGGTAGTGGCCCCAAAAATTTAGGATACTTCACCTACTGGTGTGAGGCAGCAATCACTAAAATATTTTGTTTTCAAAGAGTATTTGGATATAAAGATACAAAATATATATATATATGTATATATACTGTATATCAAACTATCTTTTGCATTGAACTGGTATATGCAACGGTCAAAACACAGAAAAACATCTAACAAGGTGGCAAAGTAATTTTCTGCTTCAGTTTGTCTTGACGTTATTTCTTGGCCTATTCATCCATTATGTTCTCTGCACCGTCAGATTTCAGACAGCTGCCAATGAGCGACACCTATTTTCGAGCGCGCTGCCTCGCCAGGCGTTTCATGAAGCAACAGGTGACTGCTGCGATGATGACAATGCCCACGAACAAGGCGGAGGACACTCCAACAACCAGAGGGATGAGGAGGAGGTCAGCAGCTGGGGAAATAAGAGGGAAGGATGCAGTGATGTAAACTGACATTTGTATGAGGACTGCAGAATTACTTGTAATTGTTCTGCTTTCATTAGTCTCACTTCAGTTTAGTAAATGTCAAATACACATGAAAAAATATTTCCTTGGGTAAACTGATTTGTTTGGTCGAAATGAATACAGACAGTGCACGTATTGATGGTCACCTAGTCAATAGACTGTGCTGCTGGATAAACTAAAAGCAGGTTGGTCTTGTGACTTAGCCAGAATAAAGGGAAGGTGAAAAGCAGGACTCCTGTGGAGCTGCTCAGTAGACATCAGGCTGTGAAAAGAGCTACACTCTCACCACTTCTGCCCCAGATAAATACTTTAACAGATGAGATCTGTTTGTAATGTATCCCATTTTCCCCTTGTGACAATGATTATTAGAAAAAACAAACCCAACTGGAGACACTTACCTCTGGCATACAGGTAAATGGTCACTGTATTTGACTCTGCTTTGACCCCTGTGTTGTACCAGTCTCCGTGCGGGTTCTGCCCCCATGCCTCAACATGACATGCATACAAGCCCTGATCATCCATTGTTGCCGCGTGGACCCTCAGTCTGTAGCTGACAGCTGACAAGCGGTCGACGCTCACCTCGCTACCATTGGCAAAGATGTTTGCAACACCATCGTACATGAGACCAGCTACCAGCCTGGGTTTTTCTACCACAGGGGAGTCTGGGGGAGTGACAGATGCAGGGCTCTGTCCCTTCTTGAGAACTGGTGCAGGGATCGGCCACCGCAACCACTGCACCTGAGCCAGGGCGGGGCCTGAGGTTGTCACGGTGATGTTGCAGATGAGGGTGACGGTGCTACCTCTTTTTAAAAGGGGGCCACGAGGGAGCTGAGCCACAGCTGCAACCTGCACATCTACAGAAGGAAGTGGGACTTTCATCAGATTACACATGGTAAACTAAAGATATAATATGTGACGCTGACAATTTGAACAAAACTAAAATGTGTCTAAGTTGATCCGAGTTAATCCAAGTTTAGTTAATGAGCATGAATCTTTTCAGGATTTTATGGGCAGCTTGAATATTCTACAGATTTATCAGAAACTTCCAGGCTTAACTGGTAAAGCAGGGACAGAGACTTTGAGGTCTTGTTGCAGACTTAAATCTGGCACATCACAGCCAAAAAGCTCATGTTTTTAACCTTAGCTAAGCTGCTCCACAATCTAACCATGAGAACCCAGGCAACTGCAAAACTCTGACAAAGAAAACTAAAAATCACTGACAGAGATGAAACCTGTGCGTCACTGAGGACACAAGTAGCGCCACTCACCTTCGGTCTTCAGGCTGACGATGACTCCCTCAGACCTCTGGGTGAGTGTAGCAGGAGTAGATGGGGCAGGGTTTCTCCTTCCAGCATACACACTCACCACACACCGATACACCCCCGCGTCAGAGGGTCGGGCCGAGAACAGCTTCAGAGTGTACCTCCCCTCCGCCACTTTCTCCATAGAGCCGCTTGTAGCTCTGCTGAGGTCATCCCCCCAGCTCACAACGCCGCCTGGGCTCATCCGGGCCACCTCCACCTTAGCACAAAAAGCAGTTTCAGCTTGTGTATGGATGTTAATTTAAATGTGATTTATATTAAAATACCACAAACTGAGAATACTGTACTTGCAGACTATTAAGCTCTAGCATAGTGAGCAGAATGACCGTACCTCGACTCCTCCAGTCCCAATTACACCACTGCTCACAGATCCCCTCTTCATCCACTGAACAAGCAGGCCCGAGTTTACTTCAGACGGCAGCCCCAGCACCTCACAGGTCAGGATGAGAGGGGAACCAACCTGCAGGGTCACCCCCCCTTTAGGCGAAGACTTTACACTCAAAGACTCAGCTGGAGAGAGGAAGAGACAGAGGAAGACAGCCTAATAAAAGTTTAAGTACCAGAAATCTTCCAGAGCCTCAAACAAGCACTTAGACTGTGACAAGAGAAGCCTTCACAGAAGTGACACAGTGAGAATCTGCTATGTGCGAAAGGTAGGGTGACTTCTCTAGTACAGCACATATTTAACAGACAGGATAAAATGACTTATCACCTCAAGAATAAAGGGAAAAAGGGGTGAAGTAATGATTAAGCTGCTAGGAAACCAGGAAACACATTTCTGCTACACAGAATTCTCTTTGTTACATTTTCCTCTAATCACTGAGTTTTTTTGTGTGAATTACTAAACATTGAGGCCACGCACACACAAAAAAAATCACTGTATGTTTGAACTGGTCACACTCAATAGATACAATATATGTACAAGGCTCAAAAGTAAACGGACGTGAAGTGGACGTTTTTGCCACATTTGAAGAAGTTCCCTCTAGGAATTTCTGAGATACTGTGTTCATGAGAACGAACCAGCCAGCCGGCCGGATGAGCATGTGCTTCTGGCCATGGTTATCATCAATGCAGAGGCATAAATAATAAATCTTAAATGCCAACTTGTAAATACATTATGGGCTACATTTTATAATTTGACAACAATATTAATACCCTGGTACAGTTAGAAGATATCAATACTGATCTGTTGTGTGTGAAAAGCTTCATTTAACCACAACACTAAACACAGAGCTGCTCAATAATGGCCCCTTTGTCTACATAAACAAAAAGAGACATGTCAGACCAAGAAAACAGAAGCAGTGCTTGTCAGTGTGTCTGTAAAAAACAATGCATGCACTGATGAGTTCTAATGTTTTACATCAGCATCATCATGACCTAAAAAAAAAAAAAAAAACTTAGTTCCTCTATTTACTTACTTATTACTAAAAGGTTGTTTGCACTTCTCATACAGTAACAGAGTAAAAAACATGAAAAGGTTTGGGTATCAGTCAATAATTTCAATCCAGCTCAATAATTCAAGCTCAACTGAGTGTCAACCTACTATTAATCAAAAGTAAAAATATAATGTACAAGGATGAGGCTAGGAAGGTGGTGAAACATTAACAGTACTTTGCTGTGAGAAAACCTATCAAGATGGGGTTAATTTTCTAGAAGGTGTGCGAAGAAGGACAACTAGACACAACAGTGCTGTTCTGAAAGTCATGGACAGGTTAGTCTTACAGAAGCGTAGTTATCCTCTGTGCAGGCTATAAAAGGCCAAGGTGGGAGAAGACATTCATTTAAGTTAAACAAACATCCATGGTTTGAGTCTGATATTTGGAAAAACTCCAATCTACTCAACAGCACTACAAGTCCAGGCTGACCGATGTTACATCCTTGGCAACAACAGAGAAAGAGTTACAAGTCTTAAACTATCAAATGTTTTTCTTTTACTGTCTCAGATTTATTCTGTAACTAGAACAGGCAACTTTATTACACGTCATCCTCTTTCCTTGCTGCAGTTGAGTGTCACAAATTGCCTGAGGTAAGATTTTTTTTAATAACCTATTACCGATCATGTTTCAAATATGTTTGAACAGCGATCACAGTACAAGATGCTAAACACCGTCATCACTTTGGCAATGAAACATGTGCCACTGTTCTCAAGTCGCACTGACCTAGTTGCTGAACAGTCAAGTTGCCGATATCCAGCGTCCTCTGTGCAATCTTCTGCCACGATCGATCAGGATCCCGAATCCACTGTGAGGCTTCACAGAAATATGAGCCAGTGTCATCTGGCTGCACCGCTTTCATCTTCATCACGTACACACCCTGGCCGTCCTCCCCGTTCCTCTTCTCCAGGGTGATTTCCCCGTCATCGTAGCGCGTCTTGTACAAACGCCCGGGGACGACCCCCAGCAGCTTGTCGATGGAGATAATCTCTCTGATGGTGCTGACTGCCCGTCCCACTCCGCTCCCCGAAACCTCTCTGCCACCACGTTTCCCAAACATGATGGACAGATGGGTGAGCTGCTCTGAATGAATGCTGGCTGAGCATGTCAGTGTTAATTCAGCCCCCTCTGGCATGGGCTGGCCAGTGAGGAAGTGGGAATAGCTGATCTGGAGTGTGTCAGGCATCACTGCAGGTGTACAGGGAGAAGAACAATGATATTACATCAAACTTGTGCAGGAGCCAGGTGTGAAAAAGTATGCTAAATTTCTTTTCTATTGCCTTTGTGCTGTGTAGATTTTTCTATGCTTAGAACACTAACACTTTAGATGGGAGGTGGTGTGGCTTTGTACATAGATAAAAACTTCTGTTATGAAAAAGTAGAGAACATGTCAAGGGCGGTTGATAACTTGCTAGAATGTGTGACTGTAGAAATATCCGTGGAAAAAAAGAAAAAGGTTGTAGTAAGCTGTATTTATAGAGCACCTGGAGCCAGCATAGAAAAATTTAATGACTGGATGGAGGAGAACTATTTGACAATAAGTCATAAATTAATGTTCATATGTGGTGACTTCAATATAGATTTGTTAAATCCTAACAACCACACAGGAACTGAGGAGTTTATTAACACATTACACAGATGCAGTTT